GACCCGAAAGTGGCCCCGAGACGGCACCGAGACGCCCCATGGACCCAGCATTTTGACGACCGCTCAAATTGCCAGGTGCTGGGGGTCTCGTCGGGCCATTTTGGGCCGCTCTCGGGCCGCTCTGGGGCCCCGGAGAAGGCCCCGAGCGAGCTCAAGAGGGGCCCAAGAAGGCCCCAAGAGCGGCTCCATGTGGGCCCTCGCGCCCAGCATGTTGACAGCTGCTGAAAATGCCGGGCGCGGGGTCCCTCTTGGAGCCCTCCTGGTGCTTTTTGGGGCCGCTCTTACTTGGACTACTATTGAGGTGCCTGGGGCTCGGCGAAGGCCCCGAGAGAGCCCCAAGCGGGCCCGAGAGAGCTCCAAGAAATCCCCAAGAATGGACGAAGAGCATTGCATGATCATGCAGTAGTCTTGGCGTTTTCTTGCAGCGCTTGTGGGGCTCTTCCTGGGCCTCTTTCGGGCCCTGGAGAAGTCTCCGAGAGAGCCCCACTACAACTTCCATGGGGCTTTGGAGAAACCTCGGAGAGAGCCCCGCGAGCCCTCCCAGATGGCACCTGAGGGCCTCGAGGGCGCGCGGGTCATTTGGGCACAGAGGGCTCGTCAGATTGAATGGGCTCGGAAACTCGTAGTGCGCAGGGCTCGTGGGGCCCGTGGGGCTGATGGGGCCGATAGGCCCCATAGGTCCCGCGAGGCTCATTTGGAGGTCATCTGTCAGTTAGGGTTTATTTACATCATATGGCTCATAGGGCTCACAGGGCTCTTAGGCTTCATATGGCTCGTAGGGCTCATAGGGCTCATATAGCGCATAGGTGTCATGGGACTCATGAGCGCTCATAGGGCTCATGAGGCTCATGAGGCTCACAGGGCTCACAGGGTTCATGGGCTCACTGGGCTCGCAGGGCAAAGTGTTCACAGGGCTCATGAGGCCCATAAGGGTCATAGGGCTCATAGGACTCATTGTAGGCGTAGAGTTCATATGGCTCATAGGGCTCGCAGCGCTCGTAGGGCTCATGAGTGTCACAGGGCTCGCCGGGCTCAGATTGCTCATAGGGCTCGAAGGGTTCATTGGGTTCATGTGGCTCATAGGGCTCGAGGGGCTCGTAGGGCTCAGAGGTCTCAGAGGGGCGCATGCATCGGCGCTGCGAAAGTTTTGACCCGTTTTGTGATTTCAGCTAAACAACGCCTGAGCATCACATTGGTTATGAACACCACGACGGCCGTGAGCATCACTCCAAAGCCTGAGAGCACCACAGAACCTATGAGCAGCCGAGCGCCGATAATCACCTTGACGCTAGCACCCCCGTGCCTACGATGACTGACCAAAGGAGGAGAGGAGAGCAGCCGATAATGTAACCACAAGCGGAACTAGTCAAAATGAGTCGTGCCTTATCTCTTGGATTCGGTCTCCAGGCTGGGGGCGCAACAAAAAGAAACACGATTTGCAGAAAAGGCCGAAACCCGGAAAACGATTGGAAAACATATTGGTTTTCCAATAGGAAATGGGGTAGATCAGGCGGCCCAAGCAGTAGCAGCCCAAACGGGCGGATGAGTCGTGCTTTACTTCTTGCATTTTGTCTCCGGGCTGGGGTCGCAACCAAAAAATACGATTTTGCAGAAAAGGCCGGACCCCAGAAAACTAATGGAAAACAGGTTGGTTTTCCAATAGGAAATGGGGTAGATCAAGCGGCCCAAGCGGTGGCAGCCCAAACGGGCGGATGAGTCGTGCTTGACCTCTTGGATTCGGTCTCCGGGCTGGGGTCGCAACAACAGAAAACACGATTTGCAGAAAAGGCCGAAACCCGGAAAACGACTGGAAAACATATTGGTTTTCCAATAGGAAATGGGGTAGATCAGGCGGCCCAAACGGAAGCAGCCCAAATGGGCGGACGAGTCGTGCTTTACCTCTTGCATTCGGCCTCCGGGCTGGGGTCGCAACAACAAACAAACACGATTTCGCAGAAAAGGCCGGAACCCGGAAAACGATTGGAAAACATATTGGCTTTCCAATAGGAAATGGGGTAGATCAGGCGGCCCAAGCGGAAGCAGCCCAAACGGGCGGGTCCTTTTCAAAAATGCGCTTGTTTGGGGGTGACAGCAGTATCTCCCCCCAAGGGGTCCCCCCCTTGAAGGGGGGGGGCGGGTGTCTCCCCCAGGCCCCAGGCACGTCCCCCATTCCGGAAGGGGGCCAGCGCCGCACCGGGGGCCTCTCCGGGCGCCACCCCAGAGAGCGGTCGGCCAGACCGAGACACTGGCCGGCGGTGAGGCGAGAACGAAGGAGTGGCCGGCATTCGGGCGAGAGCGCATGTAAACGTCGTAACCGCCGTCGTCGTAGTGGTCGTGGTCGTGGTTCTGATCGTAGTCTTGATTGAGGAAGTCCTGGGCGGAAGCGCCATTTCGAAATCGAACCCGAAGGTTTAGAATTCTGTTTTGGAGGAACTCCTTGGCGGGAGCGCCATTTCGAGTCCGAACGGAACAAATGCCGAACCTCATTTTGCAGGAAGTCCTGTGCGGGAGCGCCATTTCGAAATCGAGGCATAAAGGTTTCGATTTCTATATTAACGGAAGTCCTGTGCGGGAGCGCCATTTCGAAATCGAATCAGAAAGGTTTCGAATTCTTTTTTTGCGGAAGTCCTAGGCGGGAGCGCCATTTCGAAATCGAACCCGAAAGTTTCGAAATCGTTCGAAATCGTTTTTGTTCGAGGAAGTATCAAGCGAAACCGCCGTTTCAAAATGGCCACGCCGTTTGGCATTTAAGATTCTAAAAGCCCTGACCCGAAAACTCGAAAATGCAACTTTCGCTTAGGACTTCCTCCCCAAAGCGAGCTCGACTGGATTTCGAAACCCTCGGCCTCGATTTCGAAATGTGGCTTTCGCTGAGGACTTCCTCCCCAAAACGAGCTCGACTGGATTTCGAAACCCGCGGGCTCGATTTCGAAAGGGCGGTGCCGCCCGAGACTGGAGCGTAAAATGCTTCAACCGAACATTGTACTGGGGGCCCCGCGGCCTAACGGGCGCACTGCCAACGTTGTACTGGGGTGGGGCCCCGTCGCCTAACGGGAGGCGTTGAATTTTGGCCAAACTTTCGTAGCGGCGAAGTGGAATTTCAAACCGCAGATGGTTGACTTGCACGCTGCGCTGCGCATATGATAACCGCGCTGGGCGGCTTCACTCGGAAGTCGTTCACCCGCCCCTCGCTCCTCGGACATTGCGAACCGATCTCTCTGAGCGACGCGACGACGTCGACGCGCCTCCAAGTGCGCAACGACGACAACGAAACATCGCTCGGCGAGCGAGTGCGCCACATTTCAGACAGACCATATGCTTTCCTGCAAACCCGACCGTCGCCGTCGGCCCACCTCGGCGGAGCCAGCGCGCTGCCCCCGCAAACGTGCGGCGGTCGCGCGCGCGCTCTCCCGGGCATCCGCGCGCGCGAGGGCTTCGCCTTGCCCGCGGCGCCCGCGCCTCACTCAACCGCGGGTGGCAGCGCCCTTCTTCTTCAGCACCTCCTGGCACGTCTTCCTCAGGGAACGGACGGTGTTCCGCGCCGCTGTCTTTGCCCTGGCGGACCCCAGGAGGCGCCGCACCCTCTCCTTCAGCGCCGCCCTCATCACAGGCGGGCGCCCTGCCTCTAAGTCGGCCAAGTCATGTTTGCGCAACCACCGGCGGAGGTGCGACCAGTACTTCTCCACCGGGTTCAGGTCGGGCGATCGGCTGGGAATGTGCCACAGAGACACCCTCGCCTGGCGCATGACTGCCTTGCTCTCCGCCGTCATCAGGAAGCTCTCGTTGTCGCACAGGACCCGCCAGGGCCCCTTGCCGTTCCCTGCCTGCGCGGCACGGCATGCGCCCGCTAGCTTCCCCGCGTTCACCGCCCTGACCCACTCGTCCGTGTTCACCTTCCTGAACTTGTGGTACATGACGAGCCCGAAGCCGCCGAGACCGATCCCCCCCCAGAGCGGTACCTGGCGGGAGTACGGGATCTGCTTCGCGCAGTCGTTGCGCCCGGAAAGCTCAGGCTTGGCCGCCTCCTTAGTCTTCCGCCACATGTGGGACTCGCCCACGCGGCAGTAGTTCGCGCGATCTACCTCATCGTTGGGTGGCAGAGACAGCACCACCCCGTCCATCGCCATCGCGAAGTAACGGTCGAACTGGGCTGGCGCCTTGCTCAAGACGAAGCGGGCGAACTCTTTGCGGTCCGCCTTGTCTTCCCAAGAGTACTTCGGCTTCTGCGAACGCGGCAGCCACTTGTACCCCTTCTTGGCCAGCACTTTGCGGACCGTGGAGCACGCGAGCTTCGCGCCCTTCTCCCGCAAGAGCACCCTCTGCAGCGTCGTCGCCGTGCAGACGGTCTTGAGCCGAGCGGCAATCAAGTTCCGAACGAGGAAAGTTTCCACCTCCTCCGTCACATTCCACTTCTTCCTGCCGCAGCGGTTGTACTTATAGGGGCGACGCCCGAGGCGCGTGCTGAACTGCTTGATAGTTCTCTTGCACTGCGAGGCGGAGGGGCTACCCCCGCCCCTCGCTACCACTGCGTCCTTGATCTGGTCCCACGTAAGCTTGTTCACAGTCCTGAGCATCACCACCTTCCGCTGGTTGCGGAAGTCCATGGACCGAGGGTGGGCGCTTTCGGTCTCGGTCGGCATGTCAGGGGGCGGGCGCGCGCGGGCGGCGCAAGGACACAGCCGCGAGCGGCAACCTTGAGCCAGGCGAGGCTACGGACAACAACCTGGACCCCGGGAGCGCCGCGGGGGGCACGCGACGGCCGCGCGCGCATCGGGGGGGGGCGGGCCGCCACGAACGCACTAACGAAGGGGCGGCAGCGCGGACAGCGCCTCGTGGAAATGTCCATTTTCCTATGGGAAAACATGCTTTTCAGGCAACCCCTGCCACGCGCGCGGGCATCTTCGCACTACACTCGCTGCGACATGCCGCGGCAACAATGGCAGCGGCACCGGAGGGGCAATCTTTCCTGGCAAGTACGGTATTCGCAAACAGTTTGCTGCCTATGCCTCCGCGGCGGCCGCAATCCGGCGGCGTTTCACGGTCTGTGCAAAAAGCGAATACTTGTTATGTTTTTTCCTGGTCGGCACCCTATCTTTGTCGTAGAATGCCTCGCCTGCGGGGAGCCTCGCAAAGACGCAGTTCTTGCGCAGCCACTTGGACCTCTTCTGGTGCGAACAGTCGGCCAAGTGCGCGTCTGGCGCATCCAAGTCCACTGTCACCGCGATCGCAACCCCGAAGAGGTACTGCGTGTAGGCGTAAATGTTCGTGGCACTCTGGCCCCCGCGAGCCTTGGCGTTCCGCGCCTGCAGGAGCGCTCTCCAGGAAAGGAGCTGCTGCCAAGTGTTCACGTTGTCTAGGACTATCCCGTCGTGCAGATCCCGGTCGAAGCCGTGCAGGTCCAGGTGCTCCACGTCCTCGACCGTGAGCACGTAGGGGTTGGCAAAGAGGCTTCCCGCGAAGCTGGACTTGCCCGAAGCGCTATCGGCGACGAGCGCCAACAGCTTCCACCTGAAGTCCAGGAGCGGGAAGGCGCCCTCCCACGCGGTGACCTCAGGGAATGTCCGAAAGGGCGCCTTCAGCTTGTCAAGTTTCCTGCCGACCTCCGCCATCGTCTCGTCGATCCTGCTGTCCGCTTCTCTGGGGAGCACCATGTCAAGGTCGCGCTTCCTGTTGGCGAAGCCAACGCGAACCTGTAGCGCTAAGTCCAAATAAGTTGCATGGTCAAGTTTGCGGTCCGTCCAGAGGTCGTCCAACCACTTGCCTGCAACTCTATAATGGACCCAGGGCTTGTAGTTGTGGTTTGTGCGAAGCGTCCCAATCTTGTTAGCGACAACGTAGAAGTGGCCCCGGTTACTGGCCTCCTGGTACGACGCTCTTCTGAGTTTCCTCTGGCGCAGGCCCGCGGGCACGACGGTGGCTCTGATGTCTGGCCGTATGCCATGAAACTCAAAAGAGTCAGTGGTCGTCTGGTCAATGGCCCGCTTCATCAGATTCAACTTCCAGTGGAAGTGCACGCGGCCTTTATGCAAGCTCTTCAGGGATTGCTCCATCGTGGAACTGCTCTGGGTCACCCCGAGCGCCTTCTTTTCAGCAGCCTTCCACCGCTTCCACAGCCGCCACAAGTCGTTCTCGGTCTGCGGCGTCGGCGTGCCGTCCGGCAGAGGCTTCTCGTAGAACCGCCAATTGTATGTGAGCAAGAAGCTGGCGCCTCGCATGCGGAACTTGCCCGGCCCCGCAGAGGCCTCGCACTCGGGCGCCGCGGCGTCGTCAATCGCGCCGCTCTTGGCCACGGCGAACGTCGACTCGTATTTCTTGAATATGCCCTCCGCATCCTTCAAGCGGTCCCGCGAGCAACCTGCACGGCGGATAGCACCCATCATGTCTTGCACCTTCTGGCGCGACGCATCGTCGCGGCACTGGTCGGCGCTGACATCGGCAGCGACTTTGCGCAGCTGCTGGACCAGACGTCTGCGTTCCAAAACGCGGCTCGCCATGTCCATGGCCGCCAAGAGATTGAACTGGAAAACGACCAAGTTAACTTGAGCCGAACAGAGTACTGACCATCAGGTCCAGCGTAACCGTGGGAATCATTCATGTCAGTCGTGTAAGATGCCCATCAGCGCTACGAAAGTTTTGACCCGTTTTGTGTTTTCAGCTAAACAACGCCTGAGCATCACATTGGTTATGAACACCACGACGGCCGTGAGCATCACTCCAAAGCCTGAGAGCACCACAGAACCTATGAGCAGCCGAGCGCCGATAATCACCTTGACGCTAGCACCCCCGTGCCTACGATGACTGACCAAAGGAGGAGAGGAGAGCAGCCGAGAATGCAACCACAAGCGGAACTAGTCAAAATGAGTCGTGCCTTATCTCTTGGATTCGGTCTCCGGGCTGGGGTCGCAACAAAAAAAACACGATTTTGCAGAAAAGGCCGAAACCCGGAAAACGATTGGAAAACATATTGGTTTTCCAATAGGAAATGGGGTAGATCAGGCGGCCCAAGCAGTAGCAGCCCAAACGGGCGGATGAGTCGTGCTTTACCTCTTGCATTCGGTCTCCGGGCTGGGGTCGCAACAAAAAAAAACACGATTTTGCAGAACCCAGAAAACTAATGGAAAACATGTTGGCTTCCCAACAGGAAATGGGGTAGATCAAGCGGCCCAAGCGGTGGCAGCTCAAACGGGCGGATGAGTCGTGCTTGACCTCTTGGATTCGGTCTCCGGGCTGGGGTCGCAACAACAAAATTATCCCGGCAAAGCAACCTAACAGCGATGTGTAGAAGCATAGCTGGAAACATTGCCTGTGGTATTCATGTAAGAGTGCAGTTGTAGAATTCTGGTGTTCTCGCAGTCGCATTCGGATTCGCAGTGGCAGTCGCAGTGGCAACATCAGCGGCAGTCGCAGTGGCACTGCCAGTAGTTGCAGTAGCAATAGCTACACTAGCAGCAGCAACAGCAGCAGCAGCAGTAATAGTAACAGTAGTAGTAGCAGTAGAAGTAGTAGTGATGGTAGTAGTGGTAACAGTGAAGTAGTAGTTGTAGTGTGTGGAGTGAACGAGTAGGAGTGATGGGAGCAGTGGTAGTAGCAGTAGAAGCACTGCTTTCCTGGCATTAAGGTGCGCAGTAGGCGCTGCGCAGTTCCCTTGAAAGGGAATCTTCGAAAGCAGGGCTGTAGCCAAGAAGGCTACGGGCATTCAAAATGTGGCCCGGGAGTGGATTTTTGAGAACTCGAAGAGCACGAAGTGGCGCACAGTTGGCTCCGGGCATTCAAAATGTGGCCCGGGAGTGAACTTTTGGGAAGTGGAAGAGCACGAAGTGGCCTACAGTTGGCTCCGGGCATTCAACATGTGGCCCGGGAGTGGTGTTTTGGGAACTCGAAGAGCACGAAGTGCCCTACAGTTGGCTCCGGGCATTCAAAATGTGGCCCGGGAATGGAGTCCTGGGAAGTCGAAGAGCACGAAGTGGCCTACAGTTGGCTCCGGGCATCGAAAATGTGGCCCGGGAATGGAGTTCTGGGAAGTCGAAGAGCACGAAGTGGCCTACAGTTGGCTCCGGGCATTCAAAATGTGGCCCCAGAATGGAGTTCTGGGAGGTCGAAGAGCACGAAGTGTGCGACTGTTTGCTTAAAACGAGCCCGGTTCTCGCTTGTTCGGCTCCCGCCCAGACCCCCCTGGGGAGTCATCAGATGTTTTTTTTGACCCCAGTAGAAACCTATCAGTCTTCGCTGTTAGGTAAAACCACGATTCTATAGGCTTACGCCACATCCGCCTACTTCTTTTTTTTCCTTCGAGGTACCGTGTACCACAGCTTTTTGGAAGTCGCGGGAGAGTGATGCCGGTTTCTCCACAACGAGAAGGTGTGCCGAAATTGGCCGCAAATTGGCCCAAGGAGGATTCCAGATGGCCCGAGCGAATCCCAAGACGGCCCAAGGAGGGCCCCACAGAGCCCCAGCGGTCCCGAGTGGCCGCTTTCACAGGGGCAGTGTTTTCCGACCTCCGGAGGTCCATCAAGATATGCATCTGGTCTTCGGCCCAGGGTCGCAGCACAATGTTCCTTCGAGTTGTGTCCAGCCGCGGCGAGGGGGGAGGCACCTGAAGACATGCAAGCATTTCCTTAATTGAATCGGGACCGTTTTATTGCGGTCCTGGAGCCTTTCTGGGTTGTCTCGGGGGCTTCTGTGGCGGTCTAGGGGGCCCTCGGCCCATCCCCGAGTCATCTTGGGGGTCCTCTTGGAGCGCTCCTGGTTTTTCCAGGTGGCTTTCTGGCAGTCTTGGAGCGCTCCAGGGCCATTGACAGACGCGCGGGCAGTCTTGGAGCACAGGGAGGCGCTTACCTTCGCAGACGCTGGCGGTCAGGTGTCGCGGGCAGTGTACGATCCAGAGCTGGCATGGAGTTTCATGACTGAGAGATGGTGGGTCGATGTTGAGCATGTCGCCAACGATGGAGATGGCACTGGAGATATTGACATTGGAGACATTGGGTGGCGAGTGAACCCGAGGCGCTCTTGGAACCGTCTTGTGCCATTTTTGAGGCTCGTCGTTGTCGTCGTCGTCCTCCGCCGGACTGTTCCCAGACCTCCGAGCGGCGTGACTCCCAAAAGATAGCAGAGGTTTTCGAAAAGTATACCATGAAATTCCAATAAACGTCCCTGAGGCGATTAAGGCGGGAAGAAGGATTCCCCCGGGGTTCTTTGTGTACCCATTGCGGTTCAAGATTCGCGTTCCAGGGGCGCGCGCGCTGCCATTCCCGTCTCCGCGTGTACGCGATGCCTAGCACGTTCTTTCAAAGGGGCCTCGTGGAACCCGCACTTTTGCGCCGCGAGCCAGCGCTCGCGCCCGCGCGCTTGTAGGCCCGGGGGCAGCTCGCCCGTTGTCGCGCGGCGTGGCATTCAGCGGTTGTGTGCGTCGCGTGGTTCAACGACTTGTTTCAGTAGTGTTGCGTACCCCATCATGCCACATCGGGCCTCATAGGGAAGGCTACAACGGTTTACACGAAGCGTCTTCCCGTGCCGTATGTTTAGTGGTCTGTGTTGCGGTGCTTTTAGAGCAGTTGCAGTGATAGTAGTAGCGGTAGTAATAGTCGTAGAAGTAGTGCCCGTAAGATTAGTAAGAGTCGTTGAAGTCGTAAGGAGGGGAAGGAGGAGGATAAGGAGGGGGGGGAGGCGTACGCGGAGGCTGAGGAGGAGTCCTTGTTCTCACGTCGGGGCCCGATGGGGTTGTTCGGATCTCGGTGCCCGGCCTGCCTCAGCCTCAGCCTCAGCCTGCCTCAGCCTCAGCCTGCCTCAGCCTCAGCCTCGGCCTGCTTCAGCCTCAGCCTCAGTCTGCCTTAAGCCTCGGCCTCAGCTTCAGCCTGCCTCAGCCTCAGCCTGCATCAGCCTCAGCCTCAACCTCAGCCTGCCTCAGCATCAGCCTGCCTCAGCCTCAGCCTCAGCCTCAGCCTCAGCCTCAGCCTCAGCCTCAGTCTGCTTCAGCCTCAGCCTCAGTCTGCCTTCAGCCTCGGCCTCAGCCTCAGCCTGCCTCAGCCTCAGCCTCCTTGGCCGCAGCATCAGCCTGCCTCAGCATTCAAAATGTGGCCCAGGAATGGAGTTCTGGGAACTAGAAGAACACGAAGTGGCCTACCGTTGGCTCCGGGCATTCAAAATCATGCCCAGGAATGGAGTTCTGGGAACTCGAAGAGCACGAAGTGGCCTACGGTTGGCTCCGGGCATTCAAAATGTGGCCCGGGAACGAAGTTCTGGGAACTCGAAGAGCACGAAGTGGTTTACAGTTGGCTCCGGGCATTCAAAATGTGGCCCGGGAGTGGATTTTTGGGAACTCGAAGAGCACGAAGTGGCCTACAGTTGGTTCCGGGCATTCAGAATGTGGCCCGGGAATGAAGTTCTGGGAGCTCGAAGAACACGAAGTGGTTTACAGTTGGCTCCGGGCATTCAAAATGTGGCCCGGAAGTGGATTTTTGGGAACTCGAAGAGCACGAAGTGGTTTACAGTTGGCTCCGGGCATTCAAAATGTGGCCCGGAAGTAGATTTTTGGGAACTCGAAGAGCACGAAGTGGCCTACAGTTGGTTCCGGGCATTCAGAATGTGGCCCGGGAACGGAGTTCTGGGAGGTCGAAGACCACGAAGTGTGCGATTGTTTGCTTAAAACGAGCCCGGCCCTGAGCCCAGCCCTCGCTGTCCGGATGCCGCCCAGACCTCCCTTCTGAGTCATCAGATGCTCTCTTTTGACACCACTAGAAACCCATCAGTCTTCGCTGTTCGGTAAATTATCCCGGCAAAGCAACCTAACAGCGATGTGTAGGAGCATATCTGGAAGCATTCCCCTTAAGATTCAGATGAGAATCCAGTTGTAGAATTGTGCTGTTCTCGCAGTCGTAGTCGCATTCGCGATGACAGTCGCAGCGGCAAACGGCACAGCAGTCACAGCCTCAGCCTCAGCCTGCCTCAGCCTCAGCCTCAGCCTGCCTTCAGCCTCAGCCTCAGTCTGCCTTCAGCCTCGGCTCAGCCTCAGGCTGCCTCAGCCTCAGCCTGCATCAGCCTCAGCCTCAGCCTCAGCCTGCCTCAGCATCAGCCTGCCTCAGCCTCAGCCTCAGCCTGCCTCAGCATTCAAAATGTGGCCCGGGAATGGAGTTCTGGGAACTCGAAGAACACGAAGTGGCCTACAGTTGGCTCCGGGCATTCAAAATCATGCCCAGGAATGGAGTTCTGGGAACTCGAAGACCACGAAGTGGCCTACAGTTGGCTCCGGGCATCCAAAATCTGGCCCGGGAATGGAGTTCTGGGAACTCGAAGACCACGAAGTGGCCTACAGTTGGATCCGGGCATCAAAAATCTGGCCCGGGAATGGAGTTCTGGGAACTCGAAGAGCACGAAGTGGCCTACAGTGGGGGCTCGAAGACCACGAAGTGGCCTAGAGTTGGTTCCGGGCATTCAAAATGTGGCCCGGGAATGGAGTTCTGGGAAGTCGCAGACCACGAAGTGGCCTACAGTTGGCTCCGGGCAT